AATGGCCAGACTTTGTCTCACCTACTTTGGTCATGTTGTCAGAAATGACCATTCTCTGGAGAAGGATGTCATGCTTGGTAACGTGGACTAAAGAGGGGAAGGCCCTCAACCAGATTAATTGACACAGTGACTATGGTGATGGGCTCAAGTATAGCAAGGATCGTGGAGCTGCTGCAGGATGGCCAGTGTTTCATTCTGCTGTGCATAGGGTTTCTATGAGTCAAAGATGACTCGACAGCACCTAACAACAACAACAACACAATCAATACCAATGGGAACAGCAGTCAAGACATCAGAAGATGTACTGCATTGGGCAAATCTGCTGCAAAGACCTCTTTAAAGTGCTGAAGATTAAAGGTGTCTCCCTGAAGATTGTTGTTGTTGTTATGTGCTATCGAGTCGGACCCAACTCATAGCGACCCCTCCTTGAGTTTCGAGGCAGTATCACTATGGAAGTAGATTTCCCCGTCTTCTTTCCAAAGAGTGGCTGGTGGGTTTGAACCTCCAGCGCTCTGGTTAGCAGTCAAATGCCTTAGGCACTATGCTACCAGAGCTCCTCCCTGAAGACTAAGATGCTCCTAACCCAAGCCATGGTATTTTCAATTGCCTCATATGCATGTGAGAGCTGGACAATGAGTAAGGAAAACCGAAGAAGAGTTGATGCTTTTGAGTTGTGGTGTCAGTGATGAATACTGAAAGTACCATGGACTGCTAAAAGAACTAACAAATCCGTCCTGGAAGAGATGCAGCTGGAATGCTCCTTGGAAGTAAGAATGGCCAGACTTCATCTCACCTGTTTTGGTCATGTTGTCAGAGCAACCATTCCTTAGAGAAGGGTATCATGCTTGGTAAAGTGGAACATCAATGAAAAAGGGAAAGGCCCTCAACGAGATGAATTAACACAGTGGCTGCAATGATGGATGCAGGCATATCAAGGAACTTGAGGCTGATGCAGGACCAAATATTGTTTTGTTCTGTTGTAAATAATGTACTTATGAGTTGGAGATGACTCAACAGCATCTAACAACAACAAAAATCATTTGAAAAATTCTGAAGAATTAAATTAGACCAATATATTTGCATTAGATATATTGGGCTACAAATTACAGAAAATTAACTTACAATGCCTTCAAAAAATAAAAATTTATTTCTATCATAATTAAAAAGGATATAGGTGGTTTCTGGTGCTGGTTCAGTTCCTCAACTGTGCCATCAATGACTCAGGGTTTTCATCTTCCTGCCATCTCTTGCCTCAGTAGTTTGACGTTTAATCCTCATGTTCTCATGTTTCTTTCCTCTGAGATGACTGTTGGTGCTTCAGGCATCATATCCAAGTTCAAGAATGAGAAAAGGGCAATGCCAACACCAGCTACATCTTTCTCTTAAAAATAAAGCCTCTTGAGCAGAATTTCACTTACATTTTACTGTATAAAATGGAAGTATGTAGACAGCTTTAGCTACAAGAGAATCTGAGAAAGTAAATATCTGGCAAAGATCAGCAGATTTATTGCCAGTTTGGGCATGTTTTCAACTTGAACAAATGGGTTATTGTAGCAAAGAAAAATGAAGTCATTACTAACTAGGCAACTAAAAAAATACCTGTCTTTCTCTTTGGTGGCACAGTGCTTAAGCACTCAGCTGCTAACCACAAGGTTAGCCATTTGAACCCCAGCCTCTCTGTGGGGGAATGATGTGACAGCCTGTGCTCATACAGTTTTACAGTCTTAGAAACCCTATGGGGTGGTTCTTCTCTGTCTATAGAGCCTCTGTGAGTCAGAATTGACAGCAATGAGTTGTTTTTTTGGGGGGGGGCAGGGAATTATTGCATCAGAACGATTTGCATAGCACATTTGATTTAAAAGAGCATCATTGAAAGAGCAGAATAGAATATATACATTTTATTCTGAATA